GGGCCCCCCCGGGCCGGGAGGTGCTGGAAGCGGCCCCCCCAGCAGCGGTTGAACTGCTGCGACAGGGTTTGCTTCCCCGGCACCCTGGGCTGCTGCGCCGGTTCCCTTGCTCTGTTCTAGCTTATGAATTTTTTTTGGGGGGGGTTTCAGCCAAATTCAGCACGTAGGAGTCTCAAAGACTCTTAAATTACCGTTACGTTAAAAAAACCCAACACCAAAACCAAGCCAGTAAAGTTAAGGGGATGTTTGCACTTTTAAATTTTCACAGGCTGCCTGAGCTTGCTCAGAAGGCACCGATTCCGAGGAGAACTTGTGAATACCCAACCTGTCTTCGTATCAAACTAGTTCAAATGTGCTTTGGAAAAGGGGCTACTGGAATATTTCTTTCTAGGTGTAAAATTACTCATACCCGATGAATTGGATTTCAAGTGTAATTTAATCAAGCTAGAGCTCTGTATAATTTGGTTTCAATATAATAGTGTTTTCTGAGCTTTGTTAGTCAATGTTCCTTGTTTAAATTTAAATATATAAATCTGTGTTATCGTTAATACTGAGCTGGATGTTACCTGTAACACTTTTATCCTTATGTTTTTCTTCTAGACAGGATATAATTATCTATCCTAATACTCCAATTATGTAGATCATCCCACCAAGGTCAGTAATGCTACTTAGGTAGTGTTTCTCATTACTGAAAATTTTCACTTCCTACTAATTACATGAGTCCTATAAGGAGTGAAGAGGGGTTTTTTTATGTTTACTCTCTGCCTTTGACATTTCTTCAGTGTTTTCCCAGAAGAGCTAGTTCAGAGTTGTACCATATCTACATCCCTTTTCCAGTGTTAACCATCTTGGTGTGATAGCTGGCCTCTGGCTGAGATGCTGATAATCTCTTCTTTCCCAATGAGAGGTGGTCAAGTGTTCTGTGTAATCAAACCTTTCATTGATGTCAGCTGTATCCCCAGCTGTCAGTCTTTAAACTTTGGTAACTTCCTTTATGTAGACTATAGGACTGTAAGATCTTAAAAGTGCAGTTGGATTTTCTTGAGTTTTCATTTTAAAAAAACTCCAAAATTGAATCATGTCTTACAGTCCTGCCCAGTCTTGCAGTTACATCTCTTAATTAGGTCAAAGAAAGGCAGCATAACATTCCAAGCAGAGTTTCCTGCCTGTGTTTTTTAAAATTGTTATAAAGTGGCTCTGAACACATCAGAAAACTAAAATATTTTCATCAAGTGAGGAACTTTCGAATTGAGTAGCCCCATCTAATATATCTTCAGTAGCTTTCTGTTTCCTCCAGAGATAGTTGATAGTACCTTCTTGGAGTATCTGATAACCTGATACTTCTAGCAGTGTTGAATTCCTTTTTCCTTTCAGGCCCAAGTTTCCAGTGTTTGTTTCTGCTTTCTCTGGTTTGATATTAAGAGATTCTTCTTCTTGTAGTATCTGTAGCATTGATTTTTAGAACTAGCTTTTAAAGAATGTCATGAAAGCAATGCTGAAACTTTGTTTCAGATCACTCCTCTCTTCAGCCGCGGACTTGAGACATCTGCAATGTTTTCAAAATACTGGAAACACTTCAGGCAGGTCATAGTATCTGTTCTGTGATCCTCTGCACCTGCCAGCTGGTTTAGATATGTTCCTATAACAAGAAGAGAGCAATGCTATCTAAACTTCCTCCAGTTTTCTCTGTCTACTTAGCAATTAACTCTTTATGTTAGTCTCACTACCACACTTCACCCCTTTCCTAAGGAGGAGGGAGATCTTGGTTCCACCCTGCCAGTCACTGGCTTTCACCAAACCCTTTGGTGATCTGAGCAGGATTGAGACAGCAGAAAGCAAACTACAGAAATCCTGTTGTAAACTTTTTTTTCCTTGCTCGTTCAGCTCAAGGAACTGGCCTGCTCTGGGTCACACAAGTGTCAGCCCTGACACAAGGGAGCAGATACATTGACAGCAACTCCAATTTAGATTATTTTAAGCCAATCTGGAACTTTAAGAGAAATCCCACTACTTTCCACATGGAAACTTCAGACAAAAAAGGTTTGTCAAACTATGTATGAGAAGGCACAGATGTCAATTGTTGGATAATTTGCGGTGTACAAAATTGTTAACCCATAGCTCTCATGTAATAGGTCACTTGTAACTAATTAAGCCAGCAGCTTTTAGTTTCCTGCTTCTGGTTCCAGTACTTGGTTCAATTTGATAGTCTGGCAAAAACCTAACTCTGTTAAAAAGAAAAAAGGTGCTAATTAATAGATTTCTGCTTGTTCAGTGAGTTTAATAGGCTTAATTGGGTGATCTTGTGAGCATCAGCAGCAACAGAGGAAGCAGTGGTTTGTGGCCAGGGGCACAGAGGAGACAGAGAGAAGCAGGTCTTGTCCTCCCATTGCAGCAGATGCATTAGTAAAAGCCATCCAGTTAGGAATATAAAAACTAATTTTCATTACTCTAGTAGCAGATACACTTGTCCTTGTTTTTCTTTCATCATGACTACATAGAAATTTAAATATACTGCCAAGCCAGTAAACCTAAATAATGTTTCTGTCAGGCAGTGTCTGCGTACTTCAGATACCAGTCAGAAAGCAAGTGCTTCCTGGCTCACTTTCAGCCTGTCTCATTTCAGCTGCAGCTCTGCAGACTTCATCACCTTTCAGATGGTTTGTTACTTGTGTTTGTTAGTTGGTTGCATTTTACTATGATTCCTTTGTTACAGGAGAGAACTGTTAGGTTTCCTTTCAAGTGTTAAGTGTGAATGCCTCAGTACTGGTGGCAAATAGATCTAAATACACTCTTAGGATACAAAAATCCCTAAATGAATTTGCCAACTAGTTTAGGATTAAAGCATGATTTGTTTGACAGAACAAATATGGATTAGGGCAGTTTACACTGCTGACTTCAGGCACTTAAACTGAGAAGACCAAAACAGAGTGCTTCCCTGAGGATGGCAGTAACAAAAAAAATGCTAGGAAGGAGCATGTAGGTGAGGAAAGAAGGGATGGAAAAGCAAGAACAAGGAATTAGTCTCCTTTAAGGAAAATGCCTCATAGTTGTGCAGTGACATCTTTTGATGCCTCCCCCCTCTTTTGTTTTGCCAGGTTGTTGCTGACAGTTGAAGACTTCCTCTCAAAGCTGTTTAAATGAGAATGTCCCTGGCACAAAGAGTACTACTGACATGGCTTTTTACGTTACTCTTCCTGATCATGCTGGTGCTAAAGTTGGATGAGAAAGCACCGTGGAACTGGTTCCTCATTTTTATTCCAGTCTGGATATTCGATACTATCCTTCTAGTTATGTTAATTGTAAAAATGGCTGGACGCTGCAAGTCAGGCTTTGACCCTCGCAACGGCTCCCAGAACATGAAGAAGAAGGCCTGGTACCTCGTGGCCATGCTGCTCAAGTTGGCCTTCTGCCTCGCCCTCTGCGCCAAGCTGCAGCGCTTCACAGCCATGAAACTGGCCTATGTGTTCATCCCACTGTGGGCCTTGCTGATTGGGGGTATGGTTGAACTTGGATATAACATCTTCTACATACGGAGAGACTAAGCTGTGCTGTGTGGCTTTCAGTGCTGAGATGGGTACCAAATTACTGGATTGTTATGGTTTTGCCACAAACTTGATCTCCAGATTAGAACTAAGAAATCGATCAAGCTGGAGACTTTGTCTAAACCAGGCTGAAGACTGAAAGTAGACTTATTCTATTTTTTATTTTGAAAGTGTCACATATGCTCTTGTAAATAAAAGTATTTGTTCAACATACACTGTTCTAATATTATTTGTTACATGGAATAAGATCAAGGGTTTTCACATGCAGGTGGATCTCAAAGGAACCCGAAATGTTATACCCCAGAGCATTCAGCACATTGTGTAATCCTTGGAAAGAGAACTTAAGTTCTCTATTAATGATACTGTGACTCAAGAAATAATCAGCTCATAGTAATTTCTAGAACCTGCTAAATTTTCTTTAAGAATCACTAACAGCTGCCAAATGAGCAAAAAAAGGAATAAAGTGGTTCAGCATTTTCTTTTTGACAGTGAGAATTCATTTCCAGTATAAGACTAAAACTAAGCACTTTTTTTAAGCTGCTGATACAAAGTAAGCAGTACTAAGCAGTAGTTAAGAGAAAAAAAATAGAAGCTGAACTGGTGCCAGCAGCCCAAGATCCAGAGGAGGGAGACAAGGCTGATTACCTCTCAAGTGAGAAATAAATAGTGCTATAAAAGACTGAAGCTACAGGGTGAGTTTTGTAATGCCTTTGTACCTGCAGGAAGGGCTACCTTAACAAGGAAGACTTGTACATTACTGACTGCAATGCCCTAGTGTATTAAATCTCTGGAGCTAAAGCCTTGGCTTTATGGAGTGTTGGCAAACTCAGAGGTGAGTAAATGAACTTTTTGAAGTACGTGCAATGAATGAGACTTCTGAGAGGAGCTGAAACTATAAGCATATTTTGTGGACTGATAGTGCTCTTTCAGGAGCTATGATAATTCCAAATCCAAATGTAAAAGTTGTCCAGGGCATTACTGATGTGCAAGCTGAAGACACCGATCCATTTACAGTTCCTAGGTACAAAAGGAGGTCTAGTGAATGACAAGAACCCAGGAAAAAAATGTCTAAGATAACAGGAGGTGAATAGATCAAAGTGTCTCATGAATAAAACTTTAATTAAGTACTTTCAGCTGTACTTGTCCGTAAGAAAACCCAGATTTTCTGAAGTGTGGGGAGTTATTCTTGTTATTTAGTAACACAGATACAGGCATAAATATATGGGAACCATATTGTCAGAGACAACTACCTTTGGAAAATGGTACACATTTGCTTTAGAGGGGTTGCCTGCCTTGGTTCTCAGAAATACGTAATAGAGTGAACTTGCCCTGTGTTTGAGAGGCTTTTTGCCAACACATAAAAGGTTCCTGTGAAGGTCTAGCTTCCCTTACTGTCCCTGTGACTTTTCAAGTTAAAACCACACTTGTGATTAGGATTAGCTGTGAGGGGGGGACAGTGTCCATCTCAGTAAGTGCTCTTGGGCCTGCTGAATATAGGAAATGGGAAAGCAAGTCCACACATACCCATCCTATGTATAAATATATGTATGTATAGATACGGTATAGAGAATTGATTTGTACCTCCAATTTAGCCCTCTCAAGTATTTCTTCAGTTCTGTCAAGTGGAAACTAGGATCACTGAGCTTAAGATGCAGCATTCCAGGTCTGTAGTGGCAAGCTAAAAACAAACATGCATGTACATACAGACAAACCCATCTCTGCTGTTATGGCACCAAGCATAAAACCAAGTACCCAGAGTCCTTCCCTACCTGATGATTATATCAGAAAAAGAAGCAAAAAAGGTTTGTTCACATGATGCCAAAACAACTCATACTCCTCAGAAGAGCAGAACAGCTTTCCTAAGTCAAGCTGCTGATGTTAACAGATAGTTATAACTTGACACAATAAATGATGGAAGAATAAAACTAGCCTCATTAGAACATGGTGTGTTATTAGCAAGATGGGCCATGAATGGTGATTCTGCCCCCTTAATAAACCCCTTGTGTTCCACAGATGTAACAATTATCTGAAAGTTTGGCATCTCTAATTAACTAAAATTGAACACAGTTGTTCCAAATCTCTCTAATTACTGCTTCTAATACAACAGAAAAAGATGGACAATTTCAGTGTTTTGGTTGTGGGTTTGGTGTTGTTTTTTTTTTCTAAAAGCTTTACAAACTTTTAAATAAATGACAGTGATTTTGAAAGCTGAAGCAGGTAATTCTTTCTGGTGTCCTACAGAGGTCACACACAGATTTACTTCCTTTAGAAAAATACGTTTTTAGAACAGTTATTCAGAAGTGCTCAACTTTGCAAGCTCCTAGTCCTTACAGAGATACTTTGATGACAGGAATATCCCTTGAGTGGTATTTTGTATCAGATTTAGCTGATCTGAACTGTACTGACACCTTTGTACATGCAGTCTCACTTTTTTGACATCAGAACTTCATTACAAAGGATTTATGACACACTGTAGCCCACTGTTACATTTCCAGAAGCTGTTGCAGGAATTACCTCTATTCCAAATTGCCTTGTTCTCAAAGGCACAGTCCACAGCTTTGAAGTGGAACAAGTTGTCCTCACACTTTCTTACATTTATGGACTGATCAACTGATCTGCATTAAAGAGAACAAAGTGAGTGAAAAGCAGAGTTGATGAATTGGCAGAGAAAAGGGGCAGCTGATGCTGAGATGGTTCATACTGATTTGCCAGAAATGGGCAGAAGGAAACGACAGTCCAAGTCCCCAGTCCACCAAAGGACACCTCACCTCAGTTACCTGCAGCAGCTGAGGTGGGATAGGCAGGAGAGCCCTTGGCCTCCAGCAGCTTTGCTTTAAAATGCAATTCAGAGGCTTTCTGTTCTGAAATGAAACTGGAAATATTTATCTTATATTCATGATATACATAATGTATACATAGATGATACATATTGTATATGGAGGCAATATTCTACATAATATCTTTTTCTTCATCTACACAAGCTTGAACACTTCAGCATGCACTGTAGGTGAGCAGCTACTTTGATTACGGAAAATTCTTTTAAAGGTCATGAAACAAAAACTTCCAATTACCTATATATACTGCTTTTCTTGATTTGTCACCATTTTAAAGCAATGTCCAATTTTCTGTTCTTTTTATACTTGAAAAATACAATTATATGACATATATATCCCCACCCTCAACAAACTAACCTGAATGCTCTGTTTGTACATGCACCCAAAATGCACTGATAGGCAGAGGTGATCATATTAAAACAAAACCTAAAAGTAGCACATAGCTAAGTTACACAACAATTAAGAGATGGAAGCAGTATTATTTTCTGACATATACACACAGTAGTATAGAAACCTTATAGTTAAGAGTAACTTCAAGGGAATTTTCCTACTTGCCCATTTTCAGAGTCAGGTGACACAAAGGTATTGATGAAAGTGAAATTTATGAGACTCCCAGAAACTGACAAATTCTAACAACATTAGATGTTACCTATTTTAACATCACTCTATTTTGGGAACAAATAATGTTGCTTTTTATTACTAAAGTCCCTGAAGAACTGCATCCTCAGAAATAAGCTATTTGAATTTATTAGCATAGGAAGCACAGCACTATCATGTAACACATTACACTTTTTTTTTTCCTTTTTAATTAAGAATGAGGCAAAAAGAACTATGTTGAGTTGGAAAAAGAGTGTTTGTACCTTGGCATTGTTTTAAGGTTTGGATGGAGTTAGTCTCCTGTATGAGCCTTTTAGATCTGAACAACTCCAGGTATCAGCTTGCTGGGCATCAACTAAGGCAATTTAAGGAGCTGGACCACCAGAGCACTATTCAATATTTATTCAGCTTTTTCTCCTTGTATTTGTACTGTAGTTGGATAAAGAGTGGAAAAATCTGCAACTCAGTAATGCTGTTTCCTTCAGCCTCCCTTTTCTAACAAAACCAACAACCACAAGCAGGCAAATGTAGGAAGTCTTCATACAGCACAGAACAGGGTAAGAGAAAGAAACAGGGAAGAAAGATGAACCCAGACTTAGTTTATCTGTGACCGTTTTTTTATCTCAGTGTTCCTTTTGAGGTTTATAAGGAAATCACTGCTAAAAGAGGGTTTTTAGTCTAAAAATTTAATTTATCAGATTATTAAAAGCTCTCAACTGCTTTGATTAGACAGACAAGTACCTGAGGGCTACTGCATGCTTAGGATATAGCTTCAGCAATCTCAACTTTTGTTACATTTCTCTTAATTAAACACAGATCTAATCGTCAACGATTTCTTGAGACACAAAGGGAACAGCTTTCTAGCTAACTGCCCTATTCGGTCTTAATACAACCAGATTTTAAAATAGTGACATAAAAAGCACAGTCCTTAAAACACAGACCTAAGCTCCAGCAAACACTGCACTTTCATTCAGGTGGATTGGAAATCAATTGGTAAAGAAAACAACATCAAAATAGTTATTGAAAAATGAAACTTGATAAAAATAGAAGTTTAAACTGCTGTTTTAATCAACATCTGTATCAGATTATCATAACTGTACACCAAATATTAAAGGACTATTTAGGACTAATGCCCTCATCAATAGGCTCATCTATCAGCATGACCAGAACATAAGAAGATCAGTCTTTAGCTGGCACTCAAGTATAGCACAGCTCCAAAGCAGAGGAAACATCAGCATCATAGCACAGAGAAAAACAGTGGTTAGAATATAATACACTAAATTTGCAAAGTCATTATCCCCGATGATTCTAATAGAAATAACAACCTAAATACTGTGAAGTTAATCACTGCTTCTGAGCAGAACACATAATAATTTGCAGTTCTAAAAAATGAAAAGAGTGACTGATAGGAATCAGTTTCCCAAATTTTCCCATGTGTGCTGCAAATTCAGTGGGATCTGCACAAAATACCAGTATTACCTATTACAGTTTGTAAAGTGCATTTCATCCATTTGAGAAAGTAATAAAGTATCAGTTCAACACAGTGACTCACAATGAAAGAAAATATTCTCAACAGTGTCATTCACAGCAAAGCACAGATCAGTGAAAATCTGTCCTCTCCATTTCCAATGTGTACGCATTCATAGACAGTTAACAGGCCCTGATCTGCCTACAGACAAGACTCTCTACATATCTGGCCACTAGGAAAACCAAATAAAATTATATTTAAGAAGCCTGCAAAGTTCTTGAGTGGAGTACAGTTTTCATCTAGTAGAGTCAGGTGGTGGTCTACTATATCTCAGAACAGTTTATTTCCCCAAAGAGCACAGAAAAAAACATGAATTTATTTTCATCAATTCAGCATCCTTATTCACATGCAGGTGTCATAAAACAGTAATTTTTATCAATAAATACCAGCACTGTGTTTCTTGGAAGACTTATTCAATTTTCCACATTCATAATGTCTGGATGTTTCACAGCATTCTACTATCTGATGTTTCCATTTCCTACAACGTTTGCAATGTCAACTTACTTACTGTGCACATGTACATCTGCTTGAAAATCAATTTTATTTATCACCAAAGAATTCTTTCACAGATTAATAATTAAATCATCACCCTCTGAAATAATACTTTATTTCTAATACTAGATAGAATTAATATCTCAGTTAAAGTAGTATTGAAATATTCACTATAGTAACAAGGAAGGAAAAATCTGCATGCCAGCAGTACCTGTAATGAAAATGCTGTTTCAGAGTCAATTTGCAGGCATTTGGAGGGCTGGGGGTGACACAACACTGAGTAACACTCGTATGTAACACGTGAAGTCAGTTGCCAGTGAAATGTAAAAGATCCAGTAATTTTTTAAAAACCAAAGTAGCTACCCTCTTGAAAGCTAGTGGGAGCGACAGTAACAATGAAATTCTTTGCTACCCACAAATATGGTACCAATATCTAGGAAAACATCTAAATTTCTGCACATCATGTCATCAACTGGAACACCACTGCAAACACACAGATGGCAATACCACTGCAGCACAGGCAATGGGGCCTTAAGCAGATTTCTCCTATCTGCAGAAGAACATGGGCCAAGAAAGACAACTGGAACACTGAAGATTCCAGCCAAAATAACAAGATCCATGTATAACTGAAATACAGGGAGAGGGGGGGAGGGAAAAAAGCAATAAGAAAATACTAGTTTTAGTACATCAGAAGGTATGAAAGTTTTATTGCTGAAGCAAAAGTCCGAGTA